TAACAGAGTGGTTGATTTTGCCGAGGTAGACGAAATCAGTGGATAAGATTGGCTTCACATGTAAGTATCGGCCGATCAGCCAAATCCCAAAATTACGGAAATAGTTATTAAGTTATTGGTACACCAGTAGTAGTAGCACAAAACACAGACAGTGTTGATGTGGAAACTAAAGCCGTTCATCCCTTCTATTATGGTAATGCTGTTTTTAAAATACAGTTGGCAAGCTATGACGATGTGTAAATCTTTGTATGTATGAAAATCAAAGTTACAGTAAGTACAGTGGACCCCTGCCTATTAACTGTCTGGGCTCCACAGGGTAATCAGTTCGATCGCAAATTATAGGCAGAACTTTGTGCAATCAGAAAGTGAAATAGAATAAGCTTCAATTGCAGTTTGAATCTGAAATTGATTACATTGAATAAATGCTTTTAAAAACTGATTCCAAATTAATGTAATTTGAAATCCAATGAACAGGTTGAAAAAACCGAAACTGAATTTGATATTTCTTTCATTTGGGTCCTCCAGAAAAGTCGCAGAGTAATTATGTGGTAGTTGGCATTTGAACTGGAGGGTGAACCAATTGTAGTTTTCTGGCTGATCACAGATCTTTAAAAAGCCTGATCTACTTATTCAGATTTTTTTTTTTGAAAGTTGCTAAACGTAGCAGCAAAGTTGGTAAGTTGGTAAGAGTGTGGTGACATTTGTTAAGATCAGTTTTACAGGCAAGTATTGCACCGATCTCCCAAAATGAAGGAAATCAGGAATGATTTATTGGCTGGTTGATTTATCAGGGCACTCCTAGTTTGAACTACTAAAATAGGCAGTTATAAGCATTTTTAGATGGGGTCTCCCACAAATTTTAATTATTTTACTGTAAATGATGTAAACAACATATTTGTAGGTGGCTGGTGACTGTCTCTATAAATAACAAACTGAAATAATAAAAATATGGTATTTTTTGGCTGCTTTTGTTAAAAATAAAGGGTAGTTGATCATGTTAAGAGTATTTGTGTAAATATTGCGATATTGTGGTCTTTTTACTACTGGTTATTTCACTGTGAAAATTCCATAAAGGCCGATGCAGAGTCAATTACTGCTGCTGAATAGGAGGCAGTCGGCCCACAGTCAGGTTCTGAAGTCTTCAATAAGACTGGATTCCCAATGTTTTGTGGCCTTGCGGCACTTTTTCCATCAACTCGAGATGACTTGCAAAAATGGAAATTAGACCAAGTCTGATCTGCATCTCCGACCGTGAGTACACGGCATTGAAGTAAGCTCTGCCTCGAGGTTACAGCATTAAGTTGACAGCTGCGAACCTTGAGCGGGGCCACGCATCTGCACCGCATTGTTTTAATGACCGGACTTCAAAGACATTGACGACTTTTTGCTGCTACGGGATGGCTCGGCCATTAGTTGGCTGGAGTTTTCTGCACGCGGGCACAAGGTGGAAGACAGCGAGCGCGGCGGTGCTCCGGTCGGACGCTGACCCTGATGTTGTTACAGTTAAAGAAGAGGGGTGGGGAAGACGGATGGAGCGAGTCTGATCTGCCTCAGAGGCCCGTGTCCCTGCTGAGGAGCACTAACTGCGAGAGTGACATCAGCGTCGGCAACATTCCTGGAGAAGGAGGGGGCGCGGAGGAGGAGGGGAAGGAGGAAGAGTACATCTCAGAAAGTTTCCAAATTACGGGGCGAACACCCACCCGCCCAAACGAAGAAACACACACGCTCCGTGTTAGCCAGCACATTTCATTTAGAGTATGTTTGGCAGTACATGGGCTCCTCTTGCTCATCATGTGCTCCCAGTTTTAATTCATGTGCTTCTCCTCCTGTCCCCTCCCCCAACTTACTCCCCCCCGCCCCCCCACCCACCCTCTTCTTTCTCTCTCCGCCGACCAGAGGAATGCACATCTGGAACTTATTAGAGTCAGAGAGAGCGAGGAAGGGGGAGATGGAAAGAGAAGCAGTAATAGTTTTGATGGCGGTGGGAAGGGGATGGGGGTAAAAAGAGTCCAGGAGGGGACGGGGGGAAGAAAGAATGCACTTTGGTAAGCAGAAAAAAAAGGATCATGTTGGGAGAGAGCTGAAGAAAGTTTAAGAGCGATTAAAGGTGATTAACCACAGCAAGGACGATACGGAGGAAGGGGGCTGGAGGGAGCAGTTCAGCAAGCCCCTCCAACGACAGTTCAACCCCGGCCTGAGTGTCCCCCCCCGACCACATTCTGTCCCCGCCGAGGGGGCAGTCAGGCCTGAGTAATGGACCCTTTCTCCGTCCAGTCCTTCTCTCTCCCCTGGGTTGCTTGTCTTTTCATCCACCACAACCTACACCCCCCTCTCCTCTGCCCCCCTCAGCACTGCAATCTCTAAAACAAACAGAATAAAGTCTAATCACTCTCGATCGGGCTGCACCCACCTGCCCAACATGATGGCCTCTTTTTGCCCCCCCCCAGTAAAAAAGCCCAACTGAAATGGCTCCTGGCTGCAGAACACGACCCAGACATCCAGTTGTTTGAGATAAAGCCTTCCTTTCTACCTCGGGGCAGGCTTTTTTTTTTATTCCCCTTTCTTTTTATAACTTAAATTGCTGCCCCCCTCACAACCCCCAGGCCATCAAACACAATCACATTACAGGAGGCTTTTAAAACCTGGTGAAACATTCACTTAACAGCTGAGGATGCACACTTCTGATTGAATTTATCTGCAAGCACCAGTCAGATAATGAAACATCTGCCTCTGTGCCTTTCCCTCTCCTTAGCAACACTTTCCCAGAAGCATTATGGGACGCCGAAGCATCGCTTTGAAGCAAACGCATCAGCAACAACAAAGCTTCCCGAACTCGCTGATTAACTTGCAGGGATTCCTCTGGCTGGGTTTGGAAACAAAGACCAAATATCTGTGTTCAGGCATCTTAGAGTCCGATCTGGAGAGGGGGTTCGCCATGACGACATGAGGTGGTTTGTTAGCCTCAAAGAACGTAGCATCGAGCTCTTAAAAAGCTAGACATAGTTCTGGAACCGGTGATCCACCTGGAGAATCAAGACAAGTTTGACTTTCTGGAGGTCAGACTGTTTGTTTCCATGACTTTTCTGTTGCTTTCAACGTCTTCCTTTTTGAAGAATCAAGTTTCGTCTTAAGAAAACATTCACCAAATCCTCCAAAGTAGAAACCCACAAATATTTCACTCTGCAGAAACTATTTGTCAACATTCAGAACTTGTGTCTGTCAGTAATGTAAGACTTAGAGTTTTCAGTTCAACTCTGTTTCTTTACATATATTTGCGACAAATACCATTTCAAGGCAATTTGTGAAAACAATGTCTAATCAGAATCAGAAATATATAATGAAGTCATGAGAGAGGGACCCATGTGAAAGGGCCAATAGTCAATATTCAATATTTTTGCTGTTATGGCTGATAACTAGGGATGCAGCGATCAGGTTTTTTGCCGCCAATTCCGATACCAATCATCCATGAGGCCAATCTTTCCCTTTCACCTATCTTTGCCGATTTCCTGGAATGGCTGTTAATTTTTTGGTTTAGGTATAAATGATACTATGCTACCTGGCAAAATGGAAAAATTATCTAGCAATAAAATCACAGAATTTAGACATGATAGACATATTTTAATATATATTTAAAATCTTTTTTTTTAAGTTACATGCTGCAACTTTTAGCAGCTGTTCGGTATGAGAGTTCACTCTCTGGTGGAGGTTGAGCGGCGCTCCGTCTGTGAAATATTACTACCAGTACCGCATAGCAGTGGTCCAAGAGCGAGAGCAGAACCAGCATCTTACACTGCCAGCTTGAAGAGTTGAATTTTTTTTTTTTGGTTTATTTGTTTAGCTTTCTGACCGTGATGCTACTCCAGGTGAGTGTTGGTAGTTGTGCGCTGCTTTACCTGCTACGTGGCCGCTCCAGATGTCCTTTTCTTTCCTGCATTCAGCCTCAATAAACTCTGTGAAGTGCCTGGTTTTTAAATGCCATATTAGATTCTTTGTGTTGATGCATTTTGACGTGCTTCACCACCGAGATAATTTTCCGCCACAACACGCAAACGTCCCCATTCACTCTCAGAGCGTTATAGTTCCACATGACAGGATTTGTTGCTGTGCGTTTGCGCAGTGTGAAGCATCTTACACTGCCAGCTTGAAGACTTGAAGGAAAGAGGAGCTAAGCTGCATACGTAGGCTACGAAGTGAGATAAATGTGATTGGTTTTGGTGATTGGCAATAAGAGACAGTGATCAGCAATCACCGATCATACGCTTTTTTACGAAAATTTTCCGTCGGCCGATTATGATCGGTGGCCGATCGATCGGCACACCTCTACTGATAACTGACATTTACCACTATCAGTTTCATCCACCGTTAGTGGTGGGTGGGTAGTTGGTAATGCACTGCCCACCCACCAGACTAACCGTTGCTTCTTTATTTTAAACATGGTTTGTTATACACCAATAAAAGTAAAGATGTATTAAGCTAGGTCTATAGTTGATATATTGAACACACTCCTCATATGCTATAATTTCCAAATTATGACGCCTTCTCGTGCGCCTCCGAGTTTTTTTAACTTTTAAAAAATTTTAACACAAAAACACAATGGCTCATTGCTGGACTACACTTCTTAGAAGGTGCTATACTTCAACTTCATTTTAAAAACCCTTATTCATACTGAAATAAGCTAACTTTAATTCATCATTCAATGCTAGCTTCTACACAGAAGAGAGATACTAGTCCCTGTTAGGTCTTAGCACAACAATGTTCCCTAAAGAAATAATCAGATTTTTCAATTTCCTACCATCTGATCACCGCTCAGGGACAATCTCTAATATAAATCAGGGGGGGCAGGAAGAGTTAAATTAGAATTAAATGCAAATATCAAATCAGCTGATTCCAAACTGATGTGTCACAATGCACTAGATTGTTTATGAGGTTTCTGTAATTTTCTTTTTCATTGGAGCTATCACTGCCCCTGTTGGACTCATTAACATTGTGCAATAAAACCATTAAATCCGATCAACCAACCAACCGGAGTAACGCAGTACGTTCAGAAGAAAATCATTCTGGGGTCTACTCCAGAACACACAGGGTGCCAAATGGCTCACCTGTATGGAGCAGGCCTCTCTTCGAGTCAGCACTTCAGGTGCACCGCTGCCCCGAGGCCAGCCCTGGGGCCCTGGGGCCCTGAGGCTCATCAGTAAGTTAACGCAGAGAGTTTGCAAAGATTGATTATGCAGTAACATTTAACAGCTGTGGTAATGGCAGCACTTGCTTGAGAGTTACCACCGAGGGTGGCTTCTAGATGCAAGGACGGGATACTGAGTCAGTCTCTCCTGGAACAGTGACACGCTGGAAGTAGGCATGGCTGCAGCTCTGCTACTGACTTTAAACAAAGCATTCTGAAGCTTTAATTAGCGCCTCAGCTAATAACCACCCAATCATTGGGGGGCAATTACGTACGTGCAAATTATAGGCCAGGTTATAGTGTTTTACTGGTCTAATGAAGATGAACGCTTGGAGGAAAAGATGCTCCTGAACTAAAAACACAGGGACATGTGTGTGGGACTTCACAGACGGAACAGAATCAGCCTGCCGATAATCTGGTCTGGAGGAAAACCGGCGTGGGTAAATACCTCTGTGTGTGACAGGAGTAATAACCAGATTATGGAGTTGTGGCGGTGCATTGAGACAGAGACAAAAGGATGCACATGTACGGAGGCTGAGCCATCGGCAGACAAAGTGAGGGAGCGGCTGCCAGAGTGTCACACGTAACGCCACCAACAACCTTATTTTGTCGATGAAAACCAACTCCATTCCTCAAAGCTGCTTCTCATGCGAGTCTTTATCCAGAACCACGACTGCCGTCTGGGTGCCGAGCAGAACCAAGCAGATAGAGCCTGGCAGACACGGTGACATCATCTCTTTCTATACCTTGCCTCCCCTGAACACGACCCCCCCTACTCCCTCCACCCTACCTATGATGGCGGGCCGGTCAGCGTGCACGCTCCCGGCTGCCTGAGGTATACACAATGAGGCGGAATTAAAAAAATAATAGAAGGCAAAAATATGCAGATGTGGCTCAATCAAACAGGTAGCTCGGGGGAAATGACAAGCATCCTCTCCTCTTCTCTCAGCCTCCTGTCTCCTAGCAACTGGGCTCCAGCTGTGATTGTCATAAGCCAATAAATAGCCTACCTGGCGCCCCATTGTGTGCAGGAGGTACAAGAGGCAGGGTAGGGGAGGGTGAGCGAGGCAGATGCACTGGTGCACACATGCAGCCCCTTTGTGCACAGAGTGAAATGAAAGCCCACAGGTAGGAGCCCACGAGAGGAGGGAGGGAAGGGGTGTGTGATGTGGGAGGGGGCAGATTGGTTAGCAGGGGCCTCTCTGTGTCTCTGGTCAATCACTGTCATTCCCGTCACGTCCTCACCGCCTCACTATACCACTTGCCCGTTTGGGGAAAACGGCACGCGGATGCCTTCGCTCACGTGCACAAAGGTCATTTAGGCCGGTGCCGCGCGCCGACATATAAATCCAGTTTAGCTCACACGCACGCATGCACGCACGCAGCCATGTCGACCGCAAATTGAGACACCCCGCGAGACATTTGTTAGAAAAAAAAAAGAATGAAGTTTAACATCCTTGCTCAGGGTGGCCCGCGCGTGCGCGCGCAGAGTCACGCGCCGAAGGTGATCCATCGCTGCGACGCCTACATGGGAATGCTGTGAAATCATGCAAAATGCCCCCCAATACCCTCCTCATCCTCCAAACCGACTCTCCACCCCCTTCTAGGACGAACAGGTCAGTCGAGCCTTCAGAATGTTACAGTAAATTCTTAAACTGGTAAATCACGTTATCACCATAACCACAGAGAGTAATTCTAAATACAGCCTTACCGGTGTGGAGACTGAACGCCAAACTCAGGAGCAGCAGCCTCTGCATGGTTCAGCCGACCAATAAGTCCGTTATTGGCCTCCGTGAGGACAGCATCAAAAAGCGGGAGTTTTCGGACTTCTAACAGTGACTCCGGAGCGAACTAGAGCCTCCAGCGGCGCTCCTCCACATCTGTCCCCTCCAGACTCGGGTCGGACTGGTTTGCGTTTACACCATTGTTCGCCCCTGTTTTGCTCCTCTTTCTTTCCTTGTTTCTTTTCACCTCTCTCCTCTGCTCTCCAGCGACAGTCTGTTTTCTACTTCTCTCCGGCGCGACAAGTGTGCGGCAATGACTTCTCTTCTCAAACTTCCGTTCTTTCGTTCCTGACTTTCAAAATAAAACTCAAATGAAAGCAGTTGGTTTTAGGTGTTATTTTCGACAACGCGCACATTGTAAGAATGAAAGGCACAAAATAAAATAGTAATTAATAATAATAATAATAATAATAATAATAATAATACCTCTGACGTCGATAAACTCAAGGATGAACACAGTTAATTTGGACATTCCTGGCATACACACCATCATAACAAAAATCAGTTGTTCCGAAAATTTTGATTCTACCTTAAGGAAGAATGTCTGACGCAATGTTAGTGAGGCTTTCGCAAAAGGAAACCAGCTTTTCAAAGTGTTGTTTTTCCTTGTATATTATTCGAAAGTTTAATGAAAGAAAATCTGTGGTAAAACAGATAACACGGATAAGAAGATTGTAAAGCAAATTCTAGTAATTTAACAGGATGTTTTAGAGTATTTTATGCTAATTATGATTTTTGTTGTTATTTTTTATTTTTACAATAAAGTGATATGCTTTTCAGAAGGAAAACGTTTCAGTGTTAAAAACGGATATTTTTATTGGGCTTATTTAATATTCTACATTCATCAGAAACTTAGTTTTTGTAACAATAACGGGGGAGTGGGGGGGGAGGGCAAACAAATAAAGAGTTTGTCTTTAAAATTGAATTCTTGAGCTATAGGAGTGGGGTCAGGAAGGGTGCCTATCTCCAGCAAATGTTTCGGGTGAGAGGCGGGGTCACCCTGGACAGGTCGCCAGTCTGCCGCAGGGCAACACAGAGACAGACAGGACAAACAACCATCCACACACAATTAGGGAGAATTTAGAGAGACAGGAAGTACCCACACATGCACCGGGAGAATATGCAAACTCCATGCAGAAAGACCCTGGGAACTGAACCCAGAACCTTCTTGCTGCAAGGCAACAGTGCTGTCAAATGCACCACTGTACAGCCCGCAAGCAGACATTTAATACAAAAATATAAATACAAAAGTATAATAAAAGAGTATACATGATGTTGATTTGTTTTTTCAAATGTAAACTGAATTACAAGACCTTATTTTGTGGGATTATTTAAATTCAACAGCCTGGCTATTATTCTTTCTTCAGTATATATATTTTTTCCTCATCAATCAAAAATCAAACATAAATATTGAAATGTTTTCAGTTTTATTTTTATTTCATCTATTCAATTTTTTATTTATTAAGATGAGTGAAATAAAGTTCACTAAACGTGACCACGTTCTGCTTCCTGTGTCGTATTCGTTTTTTCTGACTTGACGTCATATTCTCATTAGCGGCGCATTCCTTTCTCTCCCACACACACTAGTTTTTTTCCCCATCGACTTCTTAAAATAACGTGGGTACACATAAAAAGGTTAACTAATAAGTAATGGATGCGTTCATGAACTATGCGTGTGCTTTGACATCACACTATTCAGTGTCCAGTGTAACCTTTGGCCATGACATCATCGTGGATTAAGATTAACCGGATTAAAATACGTAGAAATGCTCTGTTGTAGGTGAACTGAAGTGAGAGTTCAACGCCGGTAGCATGCGTAGAAACAAAAAAAATGCACCTGTCTCATTCAAATTGACGTTGACTATTTAGCACGGTGACGTCAATGTGATGAAACGGCGCGAGCACATGACGAATAAAGAGGCCTTGTCTTCATTCCTGTCATATAATGTAGGCTGTCCTGATGGAGTCCCCTGAAAGAGGAGCTGTCACGGCTCAGCGGGTCTCCGCGATGAAACGCTCTCTCTCGGACACTGGAGCTGGAGCGCCCTCTAGCGTCGCTGCTGCCATCCGAAGAAATGTCAAATCTGCTCCTGGAACGGCCGCATCCACAGTCTGTGCATACCCACAGTCACATGAAGAGCTTTGACAAGAGATGCGCCTGGAGTCAGCCTCTTTTAAAACGTGAGAACTTCAGTTAAAAGGAACTACTATTTCCATCCGCCTTTCAAGCCTTTAAGAGATGGAGTAAAAACATAAAATTAATTCAAATATACTTCTTGTGACATGATTACACTTTATTGGGAACATGTTATTCAGGATGTTTTATTTTTTTGTTTTTTTTTTTAGTAGATCACAAAATTATGCCAGCTTAAAATCAACAGACAGGTAGCCAGACATAATTCCGTACATGCTATCAGAAATATTGTGTGCATGTGTGTGAATGGCATACACACAAATCTTTTTTTTTTCTTTTTTTAAAGAAAGAAGACAATGAGAAGAAATAGACTGAACCAGTTCATTGCGGAAGAATAAAATAAGTATGAGTTTTGTGTGTTTATTTATACCCAGGCATTACGTGCGTCGTTTTCACTGATGATCAGATACCATGAAAAGCATCACTACAAGGTGTAATTGTTTTCAGAGATTATATGTGATTGAAAAACAATTGCAGATCTGCCATGTTGGCATACAGAGTGACCCATCTCTGCCGGGACTCGAACCCGGAGCCTCTGGATTAGAAGTCCAGCGCGCTATTCCATTGCGCCACAGAGACTGCGCCAGCCAATCACGCAGCCAACACAAGTTAGATTCATAGCATCCTCGCCGATCTGCATCCCTGCAGCATCAGGACCATTTTTAGCCGACATATTGGCACTTCTCAAGTTGGCCACCAGAGGGAGTTGTCGCTCTATTTGTCAGTGATCAAGCTAGTCAATCTGCAACAGGAAGTTATGTGTTTGAGTCAAGACAGTAAAAATCTAACTATATTTAACACACGCAAAGATTTTGTTTTGAACGCCTTTCAACAGGAAGCTTTGTATCAAAGTACCTGAATTCAAAGTAGTTTAAAAGCCTCACGCTGCCACAATGGGGATTTAGGTGCATTGTATTTATCTGAAGAAATTTCGGTGGTTTCCAGGCAAAAGACCTGGAAGAAACATGTAAACGGTAGCTCTATGAAGCACAGCAATGACAGGTGAGAAATTTTCATCAGAGGAGTTATGAAAAGGCCAAATATTTTGCAAAAAAGTTACATTTTTTAGGTGCATTTTATTTCCGACTTGTCACAGAAAGGAGGCGCTGATTGCGCCAGTGTTGCATCAGAACCACCTCCTTACCGCTCATATTATTTCGGTGGATAGTTCCTGGCAGAGAAGTACAGTTGCTGATCTATATCTGGTCTGGAGGTACAGCATAGTTATAAAGTCCTGGCGGTGTAGATTGTGGGTGTTAATTTTGGGCTTTTAATGAGATGCTTATACAACATGAAACTTAAAAAAGGGAGTAAATCCCATCTCATTATTGGGGGAGAGGCGGGGCGGGGGGCTGGTGGGGACCATAAACAGAGAAATTTCTTAAGAACAATTTTTTTGGGGGGGAAGGGGTGTAGCTCTACTTAATAAAATTCCTCAGATATTGATTTATTGCAGTGGCTCTTAATAAAAGTTATGTGTTATTTAAATTATACCTTAAGTTGCTTTAAACTGTTTTTTGTTTTTGTTTTTCCATTTCCTGGATGGCAGAGAACCCATAAATATGTAGAAATTGAATATCCAGGAAGCACCAGTACATAAACTTTCCACCCATGGGTGCACGTATTGTACATTCCAAAATGCTTTCAGTTGTTTGTTGTTCCACATCTCAGAAATAACTACTCAAATGAATCATTCTAAAGCCCGAAACTACTCCGGTCAGAAAAACGTCTGACCTCAAAAGGGGCCAACTTGGGGAAAAAAACAGAACCCTTAAATCTTCCAGGTTTATAGAAACCCAGAAAGGCCTGAAAGGCCTGAAAGAGTGTTACAGCTCTACGAGGAAACAAACACTGTGAAAACCAAAACTGTCAGGTCTAACTTTCAAGTAGTACAGATTAGAGTCAGGTTCCATATGAATGTCTAGGAAAAATGACTCTAGACAGGCAAGAATAAAATAACTTGTGCACCTTCCGAGAAAAATGATGTAGTGCAAACTGCCAACTATTACACAGCATCAACAATGACGCATGCGGAATACGCATCATAGTTGGGAAATGCCTACATTAACACAATACCAATTCAACCCAAATTGAAAGTAAGTTATTTTGAAAGTCTAGATTAGAACAATTAATCCGACCCCAAGCATACCGCTACGTTTAAAACTCAAGCAGCTTTAGGTCTAGGTCTTGGCTTTGTTTGAGCTTGCTTGTCTAAAAATGTGCTTCTGTCATTCTGAAACACACTACAGTCAAACCACAGATGATCGATGACTGCTGCACTCAGACATCACCAGTTCAATCTCAATGAGCTAAAGCTGTTCTGTCATGCAGACTGAGCACCAATGAAGCAGTCATAGAAAGTTTCTCGTAACTAATTCAAGATACATGTTAGCTTCTGACAGGGTTCCCCAAGTCAAGATGTATTTTTGCTCTCCTTCTAATTTTGCAGTATTCAAATTCAATGTTCTGACAAAAGAAGGAACAATTCCAAAGGAAGTTGTCTTTCTGTGGAAATATGCTACTTTTAGTCATGTCATTTCTCTCAGAAATTATGTTCTTTTCCTACTGGAAAGTCCCTTGAACATCATAATACGCTGACATTTTGTATACTTCCTTTATTTAAAACATTCAGGCGTCTCTGACACAATCCACTTTTATTTTCTAATACTTTCCCTTGAGAAGAAAAGAAACGGCTCAGGGGTCGGTTTTACCTTCGACTGAGACCAACACTCAAATACTGAAGACCTGATCCACCTTCACACAGTTCCCTACAGACCAAAGAGTTAGTGTGCTTATTGTACAACTTGCAGAAGTGAGATTGCTAAATAGTTTCAGTGGAATTCAGTGGTTGGAATTGTCTTTCTTGATAATTTGCAGATAAAGCAGAAGAAAGGGATACCAACAACAATATGTGTGTATGCTTTCTTCATTTGTAACCCAGTCTACTCAACTGTGGTAAAAAAAAAAAAAAATTAAAAAAATAAAATAAAATAGTAAAAGAGTTAACAGTAAAAATTATTTATAAAGTGAGACACCAGAAATTAACCAAACTAAATACAGCCTCATACAAAACACACCCATTTTGTGTTTTAA